AAATTCTGGGAGGGAATTTTGTGAAAGTTTTTGTTGGTTTCTGTACACTTGTACCCGAATTCGTGGGTAAACTTTTATAAATTTTGAGCTTAGCTGAGGAGAGCGAACAAATATTCATACTCCAACACTGGAGTTTCGCCCGTTTTACGTGAAGTGGAGTTATACTCCATGTGAAAAATGTGATATTCGCGATATGAAGTGAATTGAAAATACAGCGGACAAAGCATCTCATATTAGGTGGAAAACTTCACGTGTTTCACGCGTTATTCACTGCTCACAGGCGTTTTTCGAAATATGTTTTTCACCAGTGTTTATTTTTCATATCATAAAAACGAATCACCCGTGATATGAAAAAATAAATGTTTTTATTTTATTTGACGATTTCTTTCACATAATGGAGTTTCACCCGTGTTACATGATGTGGCGTAAAACTCCGTAAAAAACGCGATATTCGCGCCTTGCAATAGTCGTGTAATATGTTTTTCACTAGTGTTTTTCATATCACAGGTGAAACTCCACTAGTGTAAAAAGCGTGTTTTTTCCAGGAGAAACCCAGTTGGTCACAAACGCCAGTTTCTCGAGATGATTTTGTATACCTCCCCACGGCTAAATATGCAATAAAATCACCGTACTTGCCCTCTGCGATGAGCAATGCTGGAAATTATATTATCTCACTCGGCGATATGTGTCGTTGGTTGGGAGAAAAGGCGGAGGAATTTGGTAGGCTGTGTGTGTGGGGAGGGGGGCGAGGGGGAATATGCATATGAGCGGTGATGACAATATGGTGAAAATTGTGAAATACGGTATGGAATATGCATATGGTGAAAAGGCGGTATTTTGAATATGGGAATTGTGAGGAAATTTTGGTATTGCAATGTGGTAGAAATGAAGTTGATCATTTTTCACTATTAGAGTCGGAGCACACACTGTTACGCAGCGCTTGTTCGAGTATTTCTCTACGACGACACCACTTGAGATGCATATCGTCCGAAAAAACTGCAAATAATTATCAATTATTATAATATTAGTTAATTATTAATTAGTAAATTATTAATATAGTGATATATTATCACTACTTTTCGTGACGTGATGTGAAAATGGCCGAAAAAGTCCGTCCCGGGAATTGAACCCGATCCTGAGCTCGCGTAGTATTCCTTTTTAGGCGTTGAAATCTATCCTGGATTTGCTGTTTCGGAAGACATCATTGTTGATAATAAAGGGCGAATGGTAGCGGTGAAGATTCGCGACCAAGGCGTGGCAAAAGATGGTCATCAAAAAGCTAACTATGAACAGGGGGTTAAAATATACGGTGAGGTTGGATGGGAAGCAGAGCTTAAAAGTTTATGTGAGGATTTCGGAATATGATATATAGCATACATATATTATTGGAGTTTCATAACCCGTTTTATGCGAAGTGGCGTAGTAATATTCTGTGAAAAACTAGGCGATATTCGCGGTGATATGCAGTATATATTTCACTAGTGTTGGTTTTCATATCACTAGGGTGGTGAAACTCCAGTGTCATGTCGTGTGTTAGCAAGAGTAAGTGAATGGAAATTGCTAGAAAAATGCCTGTACCGGGAATCGAACCAGCGATCGTTGCAAGCACGAATAAAATAGAGTATTGCTGGGAATCTCTCTGGGAATATTAGGTTATAGTTTTTCTCTTTTTTCTAGGTAAACAGATCATCCTTGCTGAAGGTGCTAGGGGCTCCTTATCGTTGGAGGTGGCTAAACGGTATAACCTAAACGCGGGGAGATGCCCTTCTAAATTCAGTCTTGGTGTAAAAGAAGTATGGAAGGTCAGCCCTGAGGTAGTGCTTTGATAATTGGAGTTTAACAACAACCTGTTTTACGTGAAGTGGTGTGAAACTAGGCGATATTCGCGGTGATATGCAGTAGTCGTGAAATATATATTTTTCGCTGGTTTTTTTCGTATCACTAGGATGAACCTCATTTGAAAAAACCGAACGACTTTATTGTTCATTAGAGTTTCACAACAATAACCCGTTTAACGTGAAGTGGCGTAGTAATACTAAGGAAAGCGAGCATATACACTGCGTAGTTGAAAAAGGGATTTTTTCTGTCAGGTCAGCGATCCAGGCCATGTGACACACACCGTTGGCTTCCCTATGGACTACATGTCGTACGGGGGCGGATTCATATATCATATGGATGGTGACACGGCGGTGACACTGGCTCTATTTTCGAAAATATATTTTCTTAGACAATCTGGTTCATCTGGGATACGTAACGGGTCTTGGATATACTAATACTAATATGTCACCATATATGGAGTTGCAAAAGTAGTGGTATTAGGTGACTTGAAAATAGCGTCACGCGCCACGAAATAGGTATAAAACGCACGATATGCTGAGACACCTGTTAGAGGGGGGCAAATGTGTTGGATATGGAGCAAGAGTTATTAATACTGGTAGTACGGGGAAGTGGCGTAATACTCTGTGGAAAACTAAGCTATATGCATCAGTGGTTAGCAGTGTGGTAAAATTTGCGCCTGGTCAACCACATGTGTTGGTGACAATATGAAAGCTTTGAGGAAAATTTGGGAAATTCTTGTTACTTTCTGTACACTTATCGTATGTATTATTCCAATTCGTATATGAAATCCTATGATTAGTGAGGAAAATTTTGAGCTCAGCTGAGGAGAGCTAACATTTTTCGCAGCACTGGTGGTTAGTGATGTTTTTCAAATCTGCGATCTGAGTCAAAGTTCGATCTGAGTCAAATTTTCGATCTGGTTTCTCAAGATTGAGTTTTTTAAGAACTATCAGCAATCCTAGTCATGTTTTACGCCCCGTTTTACGTGAAGTGGCATAAAAACTCGGTGAAAAAC